AGGGGTAAAGCTATAATTGAGACTTGAGTTGTGTTCAAGGCATCGAGGTAAGTGTTTGGTCTAACCTTAGCTTGAGGGATTAGGAGTTGAGTCCTATTTGCTATGTGGTATTAGTCATGTACGACGTATAGGCATGTTGACGAGTATCTATGCGTCGGTGTCTAGCATGACCGTGAGTCTTTATATTGTGAATATCTTGATTTCATTGTATTCTTCATGCCTTGGTGATGATTTCTAGTTGTTGTGAAAAGTTTGTGGAAGGAATTGAGTCCTTTCAACATCTTGGAGCATTGACTCGAGTTATATTATGAATTGTGAAAGTATATGAGATGATTGAACCCTTTGGAGCAATGGCTCAAGTGGCAAAGCGAGTTATGAAGTAAAATTGAAAGATAGAGAAAGAGTTATTGGAATGTTCCCTTGCCGGAATTTAATTGTTTAATTGTTATTCCCTTGCCGGGATTCCTATTTGTTCTTGTTTATTTCCCTTGCCCTTGTTTGTGATTGTTGTTTGGGTGAGGAAGAGTGTTAAAGCACGAAGGGTGATGCCGTGCATTGTTTGCTATTGTGAGGAAAGAGTGTAAAGCACGAAGGGTGATGTCATGTCGCACGATGTACCATTCCGTGCCAATTCTATTGATTATATGTGAGGAAAGAGAGTAAAAGCACGAAGGGTGATGCCGTGCACATTTTATTATTCTAATTGCTTTGGTGAGGAAAGAGAGTAAAAGCACGGAAGGTGATGCCGTGCACGTTTTCATTATATCATTGCTTGGTGAGGACGAGAGTAAAAGCACGAAGGGTGATGTCGTGCACTTATTTGATTTCTGTTTCTTGTTGACATTGTAGTTATGTTGTTCCTTTCCTTACTTGATGCTTTTTCGGAACTGTTATCTCCCCGCAACATGTTCCCCTCCCATCCTTACTTGTTTATTTCTGCTTTGTTTCCGTTGTATATTATATAATTGCACAGGTTTATGTGGTAGTCTGGTCTAGCCTCATCACTACTTCGCCGAGGTTAGGCTAGGCACTTACCAGCACATGGGGTTGGTTGTGCTGATACTACACTCTGTGCTCTTTTGCACAGATCCAGGTCCCGGAGTAGCATTTGGTCATCAGCAGTAGATTGGGAGCTATCCTTCAGTCTGAAACTCCGAGGTAGCCCTGCTGGCATCTGTAGGCCCGGCGTCTCTTCTTTCAATTTTTATATTCTGTTGTCATTTGTACTCGAGACAGACTATGTTCTTTTCTTTCAAACACTTGTTTGTAGTAATCCTAGACAGTCCGTGGATGTTGTGACACCAGGTTCTGGTTAGAGGCATGTGTTGGTCTTCAGGATATTTTGGTTTTATATTTTATTTAAGACTTCCGCTATATTTCATATTCCGCTGTAATTTATTTGTTTATTTCCGGTAAATTTAATTGGTTAAAAAGGAATTAAAAATAAAAAGAGTTAATGATTTCTAAGATCATGGCTTGCCTAGCTTCTACGAGTAGGCGTCATCACGACTACCGAGGGTGGGAAATCCGGATCGTGACAAGTTGGTATCAGAGCTCTAGGTTACATAGGTCTTACAATTGACGGACAAGCTCAGTAGAGTCTGAGGGATCGGTACGGAGACGTCTGTATTTATCCCCCAGAGGCTACAGAGTTAGGAAAAGTTTCACATTTGTTCTTTCTTGTCGTGCGATTTGGTTTCTCAAAGCTAATTGAATCTGTACTTTGTTCTTTCGCAGATGGCGAGTACACGCGCTTCCTCATCTACCGCTCAGCAGCCCGAGCCCCTAGCAGCAGCACCCACTAGGGCAGAGGGAAAGGCTGAGGCCATGTTAGAGGCCGAGGTAGGGGCAGAGCCCAGCCCCGAGCAGCAGCACCAGTGGCGGAGCCTCAGGTTGATTTTGACGAGGAGGTTCCGACCCCAGCAATTCCGGTGGGCCCAGCTCAGGTCCCAGAGGGGTTTATTGCTACCCCAGTTCTTCAGGACGCTTTGGTCCGATTGGTGGGCCTCATGGAAAGTGTCACCCGTGCAGGCTTGCTTCCTGTAGCACCAGCCACTTCTCAGGCTGGAGGAGGAGTCCAGACTCCTTCTACTCGTACTCCGGAGCAGGTAGCTCCCCAGACTCAGACTCCAGCAGTTCAGCCAGTTGGAGCAGCTCAGCCGGGCGTGGTAGCCCAGGCCGGTGATGGAGCAGCTATGTGTGCCGATGCTTTGTGGAGATTGGACAGGTTTACCAAGCTCTTCACTACTACCTTCAGCGGTGCATCTACTGAGGATCCCCAGGATTATCTGGACAGCTGCCACGAGGTTCTTCGGAACATGGGGATTGTTAATGGGGTTGATTTTGCTACATTTCGATTGTCTGGATCCGCCAAGACATGGTGGAAGGATTATTGCTTAGCTAGACCAGCAGGATCGCCAGCCTTGACCTGGGAGCGGTTCACTCAGCTATTTCTGGAGAAGTTTCTCCCTATTACATAGTGAGAGGCCTATCGGAGGTAGTTCGAGCGCCTTCAGTAGGTATCCATGACTGTCACCCAGTACGAGACCAGGTTCATTGAGTTGGCTCGTCATGCTCTTATCATACTTCCCACTGAGAGGGAGAGAGGGAGACGGTTTATTGATGGACTCATTCAGCCGATTCGTCTCAAGATGGCTAGAGAGACTAGGAGTGAGATATCCTTCCAGGAGGCGGCCAATGTGGCCCGGAGGGTTTAGATGGTATTATCACAGGGGGGTGG